AGAGAACAATATGCACAATAACACAATAAACTATAAATTAAAGATTGGAAAAGAGAAAAAAAAATCAATTTTGAATTGAATAAAAGAAAAACAAGGGAGAAAATGAAATGATCAAAGGGGTTTAGCAACTTGTAATTCTATATTCTTAAATATTAACTATACCACCAAAAAATTTATTTTCAGAGAAACCCAACATAAAAAAAATTAAAAAAAGAAGCAAGAGAATAAGAGAGATTTACAGTCAAATTACAAAGCAGTGGTGCAGCAACAAGGTGAGGTGAAATGGAAAAGTGGACACCAAACGGTGGTGGCCAACTGCCGGTGAGTGACGGACTAAAACAGTGAAAATCCAAGAATCCCCAAATTTGGGGCAGCAGCGCAGTAGAAGAGAAGGGTTTTGGGTGGGAAAAGTTTTTGGGGAAATAAGGTAGCTTTTGTATTTTAGTGGATAAAGAAAGCACAATAGAAAAGTCAAACAATATTAAATAAGTTAAAAAGTCAAAAAAGTAAAACAAAGAATAAATAAGAAAGTAAACTGTCGTACACCTAACATTAATTGTCCAATAGTACGTACTACTGGCAGAGAGATATTTTTGGGCCTTTACCACTGGCACCCAGTGGCTGTTTTGTTCATTAGGGTGTCATTTTATTATATGTACAATATTTCTTCTATACATANCAACTTCTTTCATCTGGAGAAATATTTGATTGATCATGTTGTTATATCTACTAATGCCTCTCTTTATACATCATACAAAGTTAAACTAATAGGTAAAAACCATAGCTAAACTCCAGACATTTCCTACTTCGGCGAGAAGAGGCGAATTTGCTAACATAGCTCATCTGGAACATTTTTCATATTTTTTACATATCAATAATCTGTGATATAAAATCCACCTTTTGCAGAGAGCAAAGTTGATTGGAGTTGACAGTCTTGGCATGGATGTCAGAGTTCTCTCGGGAACAGAAGTGCAAACTCATCGTTTCCCCTTCAAAGTTAGGGTAAGCAATAGAAAATGGTTTTGGCTTTAAAAGACTGATATTGTAGTGAAACTTTGCTCAGTAACAATGACTTGGGCTATCACAAAAAAACATGATTTTGATTTTTACTATGACCTCTTTTATTTTACTCTGCAGGCAACATCAGAGGTTGCTGCTGAGAAACAGATCCGGCAGCTTCTGTTTCCCAGGTCCCGTCGCAAAAAGTTTAGGACTCCCGAAAGAGCTGGAGATTTGGACTCACTTTAAATTTAATCTTACTGTTTGGGAGCAGATCTTGTGAATAAACGTATTATCTATATTTCAATAAATTCTTGCATGCAGTTGGTTCTCAGTTTCTCTCCAGTTTTGTTTTCTCTAATGTTTTCCTGTAAATGGGTTACGTGCTGGATTTAAATTCTAATGAAGCTCTCTTTGATAAGACATATAAAAGGAAAAAGGCAGGTGAATAACAGCATATGCTTCTTCCATATTGGGAATTAAGTTGAGAAGGGAAGGGCCAGTTTCCACTTTCTAACTCAAATATTCTCTCAATCATTTGGCAAAAATAGTAGGGGCACCTTAGTGGATTATCGTTTGGATGCCCCCAAAAAAGCATTTCTTAAAAATTTAAAAAAAAAAACAATAGATTTTAAGGGTGTTGTTCCGATAGATAACTCTTATGCAGAGTTATTTGTATTTGAGAGAATAACTCTTATGCAGAGTTATTTGTATTTGAGCTTATTATCCCCGTACTAGAGCACAACTAATGATACGTGGATTAGGCGCGTATCATGGTTCGAATTTAGTCATAGAATAAAATGTGATGTAAGTGGTTTAGTTGTAAGAGCGTAACAAGTAATTATTTTTTAGTTAGATGCACGTCATGATTTCGAACTCTATTGTATACAAAGGCTTGATATTTATTTAAGTGAAGAAGGTTAAAAGGGGCAGGTTAATTATGCATAAGCGTTCAAACTAGGGGTGTTCATAAAAATTCGAAAACCCGAACCAAACCGAAAACCAAACTAAACCGACAAAAAAACCGATACTTTTTGGTTTGGTTTGGTTTTGGTTTTAAAATTTAAAAACCGATCAAATTTGGTTTGGTTTTGATTTAATTAAAAAAAATCGAACCAAACCGAATATAGGAGTAGCTATTTTAAATTTATTATTACACCTATACATATGTATATTTTTATACAAAGTTTTAAAATTTTTATAGTAAATATTAATCGTTTGCACTTTTAGTACAGTTCTTTACCTTTACATTCTAGTTTAATTGGTAGTTTTCTTTTGTTAAGTGTAAGAATCTATTTCTTGTTAAAAATAATATATTTTTAATTGAGTCCTTAAATTATTCATCACTATTTGATTCAATTATCATCAATATATCTTGGTAAATAATATATTTCTCAAAGGGCAATTGATTTGATAGTGTTACGTTGAAAATGTGGTCGCCGAAATGTGTGTTTGGTAGTGTATGTCTTATATTTAAGAAAAAACCGACAAATAACCGAAAACACCGACATAAACCGAATCGAGAAAAAACCGACATAATTGGTTTGGTTTGGTTCTAATATTTGAAAAACCGACTTACTTGGTTTGGTTTCTTTTTAGGGAAAAATCGATCCAAACCGAACCATGAACACCCCTAGTTCAAACTGTGTTACGGATTCTCATGCAATTTTTCGTAAAAATATGACTTATTAGTTTCCTTCAATCTATCTAGTTGTTTTGTCTCAGCTCAGGAGAGAGAATTGATAATAGACACTCATTGTTACATTCGCTGTGTTCAAATGTTACATTTGCTAACGTTTTCTTTGAAGAATCCAAATAAAGTATACACATCTATGGGCACACTCAACTCATTAGCGAAAGATCCGTGTAACACATAACTAAGCATTTTGGATCGTAATTAGTGCATTAAATACTTCACGTTTACCACTATCGCCAAAAAATAAAAATAGAATTTGAACTCTACTTATAGTGAATATAAGCTTCAGGAAAAAGTTGGTATATTTCATCCGTCAAGAATCAAGACAAACATCTAAAGCTGTAACTTAATATCCCAAGTTATGTATTGATTCATCTTACTTTGACTTGACATGCCAGACGATTTGACACACACCACTTGACACATACATGAATTTAAACTTCATGATAACGTAATATTTAAACGGACCTTGGATTTATGTGAAGTGAAACTAGAGATGACATAACTCAAACGAAACCGGGCTATTATTTAAATCCTTTTTTTTTTAACTTCACACAATTTTATTGACCCACTATTTGATTTGTCAAATATATCTTGAATTACTAGGATTTATTAAAAAAATTGTATGGACATAATTCAATATAGTTTAATTGTACAATTACAAGCATCAGAACTATAACTTTACTAGATTGGCACGTTTACTAATTTGTTCTTTATTTCCAGATACATAAAAGCTGTGTTAAAACGAAAGGGAAAGGTGAAGAATGAGAAATTTTCATTAAGAAAAATAATAAAGTAAAACTGCTTAGCAGGTACATTGCATCAATGCAAGTTCAATGGCCTGAGAACTAACTCGAGCAATAGAATAAGATTCTCCTACACTACGAAAGTTGAAAAGCCCTTTTCTACGAAAGCTGATCACTCTTTATTGCTTTTAGGACTTGGGATCGAAACTTGGCAACTACATTTGTTAACGTTTTTGCTTCACTTTATTGATTCAAACCGTTACTTAATAGTCAACTGGTTTACTTTTTATTACGTATTAATTTATCTTTTTTGAATTAAATTATAACTTAGTACCACTTTAAGGGTGTGTTTGGTATGAAGGAAAATATTTTTCATGAAAAATGAGTGATTTTATCACTTATTTTTCCTTATTTGATTGGTGAGTGGAAAACTTTTTTCGGAAAATATTTTCTAGTGTTTGGTTAGAAAGTAGAAAATATTTTTTTATGC